ATTCTTCTTCTCCAACTCATTGAGCTGAGCAGAAGAGGAAGCAACAATAGATGAGTTGCGAATGGTCTCAACAGCAAAAACTACTCCTTTTTTAAGCAGATGAAATGTTGTTTCCCTTTGTTTTTCCAAGGAAAGACTTGAAAATGTACCAAGATCTCCAGCCTGGCGGATTTAATTAACCAGCTTAGCACAAACGGATGGACTTGATAGAAAGTGCATCTAAAGCAGATCAAACACGCATGCATCCCTTGCAGGGCTGGACTTGTCCACCTCTGGATCAGCCACTGATGTTGTAGAAGAACCTTTCGCTCTAGCAGATGACTCTCTTGTTTTCCTAGCTTCAACCAACCTCACTTCCAAAAGGAATTGGCAACGACGAATCAACACCACGCTTAACTGCTCGTGACTCAACAGCTAGATCATCATGGTTGGATGGATAAGCAGACCTCCCAGATTATCCTCCACTCTTTGACTGGTGCAAACAACTCGAAATTTAGAGAGGAATATCTGCATCTCTTTGCCTCTCAATAGGTGAACTAGATCGGGCACGGACTACTTCACGGAACAAATCACTATCTCTAAATTCATCAGAAAGAGGCTTAAGGGGAACATCCCTAATGTTGTGCATACCGCCAATCTTCTTGCTATCTACACCAACGAGATGTTTGACCCTAGCAGATGACAAGGGAACAACTCTTACTTAGGTCTTCTAAGCAGAATTGAGCTTTGGCTTTTTCCTTAGTGGAGACACATTCATCGCTTGTGAAGAAGTAGCTTGAGTTCTTGAAGCTTTGACATCAACCTTCCTCTTTGAGGGGAGTTCAGCAAAACACTCCTCTTATACATCAAGCAGATCATCAGGGTCTGGACCATCCTGCTTCCATCTCTTGATGTCTTTGGCAGGGGGCAGTCCACCGACTTTCTCTCAATACTCGCTCAACAGCCAGCACCACTCGCAAAACCTTGGGGAGACGCTCAAACCATGGCCGACCTTAATCATATCCTATCCAAGCTCCACTTTATTGCAAATGTCACTCGCTACAAGCAAAAGACAGAAGTTAGTTAGCCACACTTCAAGAAATTCAAATAAAATGAGAGTAGATCAAAAACCGCAAAAATATGTACCATTGCAATAGGTGATGGAAAGAAGTGGACCATCACAAACGTCGCCTTCCCACCATCTGCTAACTTCCAACACATCATTGTGCCACACGTGATCTCCTTGACTGAAACTGTCAAACAGCTTGGCACTGTAGATGCGAACTTAGGCATACTTCTCGAAGCGTCTCACTTTGAAAAAGCAGAAGAACTCTCGCACTATCAACTCCAACATGAAAAAAATGGCTTAGATTTTCAAAACACATGATCGCCCAGTAGATGTTCAGAGTAAACTGACTCGGCGCACACCCCATGGCGCAAAACACCTCATTGAAAAGTTTTGACAGTGGGAATGTCAAGCACAATGAGAAATAAAATGGACAAAAGGTGATAATCCTAGCATTTGGATCGTTCACATCCGCACATGGTACGTTGTCAGTCAAAGGCTTTGCCAGCTTGACATGCACGTCATCAGGAATTGCGGAAGCATAAACGGCCCGCCACTTTTGGAACTGAGCTTTAGTCGTAACGCGGTGTAGATTTGCCTTGAACCTCTTCTTGTACACTTGGGAGCCTCCCCACAAATACAAAGGCATTTGGGAGCTTGGTGACTTACTACCATCTTCAGAAGACTTGGTCAAAGGATAACTACAAGAGGAGAAGAAAATTCTGCTAGTTAGAATACCAAAAAAAAAAAAAAAGGCTGGCAGCAATTAAAAATAAATAAAGGGCTAACAGCAAAAAAATAAAAAAGCAAAATAAAAAATGGCCTAAGTCACAGGCCCACAGCAAAGGCAATCAGCCCGCCACGGTCTTGCAGCGCATCAGGCCTAGCTCCACCACCAAAGCGAGGGAACCCATTTCTCCAGCCTGACCCACGTTGCGCCCCTCCGCAACTGATGTGACCCACTTGGTCCAACACCTCTCCAAGTTCTTGTGGAAAGGCTATAATGAGGGCTTAAAGTAAGGAGCTTATTTGAGGAGGTCAAATCTCACCATCAATAAATGTAAAGAAATCATGGGACTTAAATATTTTAAATGTTTTGACGGTCGGATCGGTCTCCTCAAATAACTTCCTCACTTTAACTCCTCATTGTAGAAGCTCCCAAGTTCTTGCGCATGCACCATGCTTGCGTCACGCCTGCTCCAGCCTGGGCCATGTAGCTCCAAGACCAGCATGCGCCTCATGCTTCGCACGAGCGCTCCAGCAATATGTAGCCACTCAAACGCAGTCAGTCATGGTGATGCCCACCATCTGCCCAGCTGGTCATCATCGAAAAAAATAGAGAAGAAAAAAAGAAAAGACCAAAAAAAAAAGTATATATATTTACGTGCTCAACTCACCTTGGGATGCAGGGCAACTCCTCTCTTTGACAAACAGTACAAATTCTCCAACATCTTTCTTGCGATGTGAGAAAGAGTGAAGAGAAGCTCCGTATTTATACAAGTTTGACAACCCGGGTCAAGAAGGAATAGCAAGCTCATTGCTATTGGGAATCCAACTCCAAGAACAGTCAGAAGCCTACTCCAATTGGGAATCCTATCTGCAAAAAGAGTCCAACTCATAGAAGAAAGCCCAGACAAAATTGGAGAGCCTGAAAATAATTTCATCTCCTACATGCCACACAAGCGCCATGTAGAAGCTGGGGAGGGCATTTGTGGGAGCAAATATTTTTCTCTTCAATCACAGCACACGACGTGGAAAAGAAGATTATCCCTTATATTAATTAATTGAACCAATTTATTTGGCCAATTAATTAATAGGGATAATATCTTAATCATAGGATATTATCTTTATTTAATAAGGTTTAGGGTTTTACCACGTAAAATAATTCTCTGCGTGTTCTTTTATTTTATACTTAACACGTTTCAGGATTGATAAGTCATATCAATCCTGCTACAGAAGTTTATTTTTATTTATTGATTATAATCTTAGATTCGCCTATTCACCCCTCTCTAGGCATTTTTAGTTATCCTACATGTAATTTTAGAACTTTCCTAGCTTTGTTGGTAAGGGAATCTTACGGAGGTCTATTCAATTATGATTCTAGAGCGTTTAAATTTTTTTGTTTTGTTTAAGTGCTAGATTTCGTAGAACTTATTGGAACTTGAAATTTCGTATAGAACTTGATAGACTTTTAGAAGACTTCTATATAATTTTTTTAATAAACTTTCTTAAGATTTGTATGGCTTTTATTCCATACTTCTATAATTTCTTTAACATATTTTTAAACAAATGAATGCTAAGAGCCAACTAATTAGTCACGCCTACAACTAATTTTCTGCTTTTCCTTTCTTTTACTGTTTATCTCAGTTTGCCTCATTTTTTTTTTAATATTATAGAAAGGTTGTCAATTACTATATTTCAATTTCCTATCCAGTGATTCAATGAACAATTCTTATAAAGTTGTGTATAGATATTTCAGAAGAAAAACAAGCATAAACCCTAGTAACAAAGCATAGTAACAAGGAAACCCAACGAGGTATTGATCAAAGAAAAAATAGGGGGCATACCTTCACAGATGGAGGAAAGAGGCTGTTCATCATCCTAATTGAATACACCCATATTTGAATGGACTTTTTAAAAATTCATACAAGTCGAAATTGAATACACCAAGACTTGTAAAACCTCTTTTAAAGTTTGTTTAAATCCAAATTTAATACACCTGAATTTTTAAAATCTTTTTAAACGCGTTATAATTCTAATTGAATACACCCCACAAACCAATAATGAAAAAAATTACACGATCTAACTAGGCAACCACAGCATGTCTATTTTTTAGTATTGTCACCGTGAGTTTATTACTTGTCCCTCTAACTACATCACACCTACTAGTCCATGTCGTGTTCTTTTGAACTTGATGAGAAACTAAAAATGACACATGCACGAACACAAGAACACATGTGACGACTCCAAGAAAGTTAGAAATTAAAAATATGGGAGATGATATGACATGGGAATATAACTTGGCAAATAGAACACTTGCATGTGTATTAATCTGTTTGTGGTCGCTAAATTTGCTTCTCCCTCCCTTAGACCTTGTCAGACCTACTAGTCCATGCTACGTTCTTTCGAGCTTTGATGAAAAATTGAAAACGAGTGCATGCATATGACTGAAGACAAGAAACACAAATTATTAATCTAATCTAGTGGAAGACGCTAGTAGTAAAATACAATTTTCTTTCGAAAAACAAACCAAAACAGCATTTTGTGTCATTTTGTAATGAATATTTAACTACAATTATTTGGTTTATTTTGTAGGGTTCACATCATATCAGTTTTTTTCTTTTTCTTATATAGATGTTTAGATGTTACTGTGTTAACGTCATTGGAAACAGAGAGAGAAAAAAATAAATAAATAAAAAATATAAGGCCTCCGGACGATAATAACATCCAGACGTTCGCATAGGAGAAAATATGATATATCGTACTATGCTATATATGTGACAAGACATCCTATGTGTAAATTACGCTTTTGAAAGTTATATTGTTTTTCATACAAGCAAAATCAAAGATTTTGAACTTCTCCAGTACTGAATTTGAGTAAAAATACAAAATCCTAAATGTTAAAAAATACAATTCAATCCAATCCACATTTAATGATAAACTAGACAAATCATATATACTACTTTGCATGTCTATATTAATCACTTTTGTGATCATGAATCTATGTACTACTCGTCTCTCTGACCAATCTCAGACATATACTAGTCCATGTCATGTGCTATATATAATTTTGACTCAATGAAAAATTTGAAAATGACATATACATAAGACATGCATGCAGACAAGGGCCACAAATTGCCAACCACACAAATGACCATGTCATCTCTCTTGTCATCAGCGTTTAAAATTCGTCACCACAGACGTCACTTTTCTCTCCCCAATCCCTTATTTAAGTCTCCATTTTCTCTCCCTCACACATGTATTATCCCACATCAATTTCACTTCATTCAGCGAAGCCCACACAAACACCCAATATTGTCTTCCGACAAAAAAAATAAAAAACCCCCCAATATTGTCCCAACAACTCCACGCTCTGGCGCGCGCCTCCACTACCGCAACGACCGCCATGGTGCAACACCGGTTCCTCATCGTGACATTTCCAGCCCAAGGCCATATCAACCCTTCCCTCCAGTTCGCAAAGCATCTCGTCCGCACTACTGGGGCACATGTCACATATGTCACAAGCCTCTCTGCCCATAGCCGTATAGGGAATGGCTCAACTCCTTATGGCTTGACCTATTCGCTCTACTCTGACGGCTACGACAATGGATTCAAAGATGGCGATGATATCGACCACTACATGTCAGAGATTAGGCGTCGCGGTGCACAAGCCATCACTGACCTTATTGTGTCTAGTGCAAAGGAGGGTCGCCCCTACACTTGCCTAATATACACAATACTTCTCCCTTGGGCCGCTGTAGCAGCGCGTGAGCTCCACCTCCCATCCGTGCTCGTGTGGATTCAGCCAGCCACTGTTTTTGACATCTACTACTATTATTTTAGAGGTTACAAAGACCTCATCCGGAACGGTACTAGTACTACTCATACTAATGGCGCTTTATGTTCTATAGAATTACCAGGACTGCCGCTATCCCTCGCCAGCCGTGACCTTCCCTCTTTCATGGTGGATTCAAATCCGTACGGTTTCGCACTTCCCTTGTTTGAAGAGCAATTTGAGCTGCTCGAGAGAGAAACCAAGCCCATCATTCTGGTGAACACGTTCGATGCGCTGGAGCCAGAGGCCTTGAAAGCAATTGACAAGTACAATCTGATTGGAATCGGGCCATTGATTCCATCGGCTTTCTTGGACGCCAAGGATCCATCCGACAAGTCATTCCGCGGCGATCTTTTCCAAAAATCAGAGGGCTCTTCGAACATCGAGTGGCTGAACTCAAGGGCCGAAGGGTCCGTGGTTTACGTGTCGTTTGGGAGCATTTCCGTTCTGTCGAAGCCCCAGATGGAGGAAATCGCGAAAGGATTGCTGGACAGCGGGCGCCCGTTCTTGTGGGTGATTAGAGAAAAAGAAGGAAGCAATGGACGAGATAAGGAGGCTGAGAAGGAGGAAGAGAAACTGAGCTGCAGAGAGGAGTTGGAAGAGCTTGGGAAGATAGTGCCATGGTGTAGCCAAGTGGAGGTTCTGTCAAGCCCTTCATTGGGTTGTTTCGTGACACATTGCGGGTGGAATTCAAGCTTGGAGAGCCTGGTTTCTGGGGTGCCTGTGGTGGCGTTTCCTCAGTGGACGGACCAAGGGACCAATGCCAAGTTGATTGAGGACACGTGGAAGACTGGAGTTAGGGTGACACCAAATGATGAGGGGATTGTGGTAGGTGAGGAGCTCAAGAGGTGCTTAGAATTGGTCATGGGAAGTGGGGAGATTGGTGAAGAGTTGAGAAGAAATGCGAAGAAATGGAAGGGTTTGGCAAGAGAGGCTGTGAGTGAAGGTGGGTCTTCTGATAGGAATCTAAAGGCTTTCTTGGATCAGATAGAATGAGACAAACAAAATGAAGAAAAAAGACAAAATTATGGTATGGCTAAGATGGAAGGGATATGGTCTGAAATTAATGAATGGTTGTGAATGGTCTGAAATTCATTGGGTTTGTTAGCTGGCTGCTTAGAACTTTAGACTGTAATTGTCTCGTCATTGTCAATGCACAACCGGTCGACTTTAGTAAATTGTCTTGTCAGGTTGCATATACAATTAAATGGACTTTTTTCCTTTAAAAATCTGTATAATTGCCAAAGTTAAGAAAGGTGGGGAGAAAATTTACACACACATGTACTATCAGGGTTTGAACATGAGGTTATTTGAAAATTAGGTTTGGTGAGACGGGGACTAAATTAAATGGGATTGTATGGTACAACAGTAAACAAAAAGCAAGTCCAACAATAACCAGCTTCTTCTTCTTCACCTAGAACTGTAACCACCATGGACCCAGCCAAACCACCAGAATCACCACAGACCATTGTCAAACCCAGTCACTCGAACCAACCACCACCAATTCAGACCCAGTCACTCGAATCAACCACCACCAATTCAAACCCAATGGAACCACAACCCAATTGAACCCAAATTCAACAACCACTGTCAAACCCAATTGAATCTTCCAAGAAATCATCCACCATGTTCAGGACAACTGCAATGGGAGACACCATTAACGGAGATGTGGGCTTTCTTGTATGAGACTGAGAGAAGGAAGTCATGAATTCCCAATCTTGAAGTGGTTTGACAAAAATTCTAAAAACTAATTGGTACCCATTAAAGGATTCTTCCGGGAAATGACATAGAAGCCATCAAGTTGAACTTATGGAATAATTAGTTGGTATTGAATTTTCAGCCTCTGTCTCTCTGTCTCTCTCTGTACTTTTTCTCACCTAAAACCCTTGACCACTCTCTCTCTCTCAGTAAAGGTTACAGCTTTCAATCTAGACAGTTGATTAAGAAGGAAGGAAGAAGAAGAAAGGAAAAAAAGAAAAAAAAAAAAAAAAAAAAAAAAAAGGATGGCCTGGGAAGGAAGAAGAAGAGAGGAAGGTTATAAAAAAAAAAAAAATAGAAAAGTTGATAGAGGTCCAAAAATCCAACCAATAATTGGGTCTAGTTCTCGAATTATTGTTTATTGATATAAGTCCCTTGACTAGTTTGCCACGTAGATTACATTCCATCTTTGACATTTTGATTCAAATTTTTATATTTAACTGATTTGTATTTAAATTTTTTTGTTTCTATTATATCCCTATTGTCTAAAATGAGTAAGATGAGAATTTATATGCCATTATTTTTATTTTTGTTCACCCTATGGTAGAGGTATAGTATATACTCTTGTAGATAAATTATCTTATGGTGTATGTATATTGTCATATTGCCTATTGCATAGGTATATATATTTGTTTTTTCATATTTTAGACAATAAAAAATAGTATTTTTGTCGGGGACTTTTTTTTTCAGGCAGCTGTAAATGGGCTGGGCTATCGTAAAGGGTAGATTGATGAAATTGTCCCCTTTGTCTGAGTTCGAAAATTAAGCCCCAAAAATACTTCGAAAGGGCAGCAGAGCCTTAGGAAGTATTTTCCCTTTCGAAGTATTTTGGTTACCTTCACCAGCCAAAACAATAACAACTTACAGGTAATTTTTGCATGCTTACAGATAAACCTTTGAGCTTGGCATGAGAGGCATGTGGCATGAAAGCAAAATCAACATGAGTTTAGTATTGATGAGAAATTTAGGCTTTCTTAGGGGAAAAAGGGAAATGTTAAGGTGAGAAAGGAGAGATTTGTAGGAGATTTAGCTAGGAAGAGAGAAATGAAGAACAATGCTTTTTCGGCAACTTGACAGATACTCTGTTTGCCAGAAGAGAAGAATGGAGAAGAGGGTGAACAGTGCACGAGATTGCTGAGTTTTTGCAAGTTAGAGAGAAAGTTTGCTCTTTGAATCTGGGTTTCATTTGTTAGGTAGGAGAGGCTTCATTTTATAGCCGCTGGAAACCATCACTTCCCAAGAAACCCTAATGGCTTCTACCCATTTTGGCCAAGATTTTCCCCTCCTTTCTCATCTCATTCCTTGACTTTTCCAATTTTGATGAAATCCCTTCTCCCTATTTGCACCAGATTATAGTTTTATTGAAGCTCAAGGCCCCATTTTCCCGCAGCTGTCTTAATGAGAGACTTCCATTCCCAACCATCTCTTTTATTGCTTTCTTCTCTTTTTTCCATGGCCAAGTTGATGGGGAAAGAAGTTTGGATATATATATGCTGGTTCGAAGGGTGTTCCTCTCTTTGGCATCTTACACGCTAATACCCCTTGGTTCCTTAATGTTTTGGCTTTGAAACTTGCTCCCCCATGTGCTGAAACCTCCCAGCACCTCTGTTCAATGAACCTGCAGGCCTTCTCTACGTGGCTTCTATTTTTCCAGCAAAGGGCTGAGGCTTTTGTGGCTTATTTTGGAGTTTTGTATGGGCCAAGGTAGTTCCTTAAGCAAGTGGGCTATTTTTGTTAAACATTGGGCTTTTTGGTTGAGTCAATAGGCTATTTGGGGCTATTTGGGCTATTTGGGCTATTTCTTTTCCCTCTTGTGCTCACCCACATGTTTGGGCCTAAGAAATGGGCTTGAGTCCCGAGGCTCCCAAGCAACCCAAGACTTTCCATTTCTCGGCCCATCAATGGGCCTCATGTTGATTCATTACCGTCCATATTACAACCCACTCAAGCAAGCCCCGGGCATTCGAGTGGCTTGGGCCCACTTAGGCTTGTAGCATGGTTGGGTGTGTAATAATGATTTCTTGCCTGGCATGACATGTCGCTTGGCATGGCATATTGCTTGGCATGCTTTTAATTATTATGCTTGACGGGATAATTAGCATGGATTTGCAAAGATAATGCATTTTATAATCTTAATCTCGATTCCTAGCATGACAAATTATTTATTTGGCATAGCGTATGGAGTGTGACTCGTGCATGGGGGACTTTTGTGTGCTCCAAGTTGGGTTTTTTCTCAATAAGGTATTGTGCTGGGCCGAGAATTCATTTGGACCAAGTCGTGGATTTTTTAGGCATCAACAATTTTATGTATATTTTTTATAGGTAACATACAATTTTATTTGTCTATTTTCGTATCTGACTTATAGGTAGTCTTCTAATTTATGTTCCTATCTTATAGGTAGTATTCTAATTTATGTTCATGACTTATAGGTAACACGATTTATCACTAAGTTTTTTTTGTTGCTAATAAGAATACTATTTACTTGCATGTTAGGTACATAATTTAATGTGGGTGCTTGCCTAATTGATTAGTATAATCTATGAGACTTTACTTCAATTGAATAATTTGTATTTTACCCATATATTAGGTAAATATTATCAATGAAAGAATTCCAAATTTAAATTCTGAAATTTAATTACAATAAATAATTCATTCAATTTAGATTTTCAATGTTTTCCTTATGTATCTCAAAAGATAAAATTGACACAATAAAAAGAGTAATAAAAGTCAAAGGACCTACATCTAAAACAAAAAACGTGTGGACTAAACTCAATGACAGCTAATTGTTTTGGACCTACATCTAAGAACCCCAAAAAAGAAATTAAAAAAGGGATGGCCTAGGAACTTGGGAAGGAAGAAGAAAATAGGAAGAAAGAAAAAAAAAAGAAAAAAAGAAACGGGCTGGGAAGGAAAGGAAGAAGAAAAGGAGAAAAAAGAGAAAAGAAGAAGAAAAAAGATAGTTTTAGCAATCTTTAATTAAAATTAAATATTAAAATTTGTTTATTTATAATTATAATTAAATATTAAAATAATTATTTTTTAGTCAGACACAATACCAAATATAGGTCTTCACTATTTTACAATCCAGCTTCTTAGTCTGACGCAGTACCAAACGTAGGTCAGTACTTAATCCAGCTTAACCCAATTCGAGCTAATCCAAAACATTCTCAGGATTTAGTCCAATCCAGTCCATAACAGTCTGTTGTACCAAACGACTCCTAAATATTTTAATTGGGCACTACCAGAAATCTTAGCAGCTCCGTTTGGAGTTACGGTGCTTTTAAAAGAAACAACTTATTTTTAAAATTTTGAATGAAAGGGGGTTTGATAAATGAAGACAAAAGTGCTTTTTTCCAAAATTGTGGGTCACTGGCAATAGTTTTTAAAAGCAATTGAAATGCAACATTTAAAAGCTGCTGTGGATGGAAGCATGCAGAGCTCTTTAATTAATGTTTCAATATGCCCATATTGTCCTTGTTTATTTTATAAAATGACATGATTTACCCTCTTCATTTTTCATGATGGGATTTTAGTTCCATAGTCTAAAATATCGATAATATCGACGAAATATCGTTTTTTGGGTCGCAAATATTTTGGAGCGTATCCATACACATATCGTATAAATATCGATAATATCAAAAAATATCTATGTCGATAATTTCACTCACATTTTAGCAACATTTTGTCAAAATATTGATGTAATGGGGAAGAAAACACAAAGAACACATTCAAAGGGGATTCAAACATGGGGAAGAAAACACAAAGAACACATTCAAAGGGGATTCAAACATGGGGAAGAAAACACAAAGAACACATTCAAAGGGGATTCAAACATGGGGAAGAAAACACAAAGAACACATTCAAAGGGGATTCAAACCCTTGCCATTTAACTCCTCCAATGCCTTAACCACCATTTTGCTTATGTTTTTGTGATAATATGCTAAAATATGTATATTTATATTGTTTTGTTTTGAATTGTTTTTACAAGAATTAGATTTTCACATGAGAATGTGAGTCTTTGACCTTTCATTTTGGGATGGAATCGAGCTGCTCATGGAAAGAATCCGTGACCCAATCTTCAAATGATTTTGTTTATGGACAATGTCAACCAATCTTAGATCCATATGGGTGGCATGTTAACAATTACATGAAAAACTATTTTGGGGATTTATCATTTAATGATAACTCACAAAACACTCACTCCACACATAGAGATGATGAAGATATTGAATTTTTTTGAATCTCATAGTCACTCACGTATCCTATTATGCAATGTATAAAGTGTAAAATATTGTAGTAAATCATTATATATAAATGATTATGGTGTGTTTAATATTCTTTCATTAATTACTACATATTTTCTACACTCACATTGTTTATCAGCTCGCTATATAATCAACTTAAATCAGTTAAACTCATCATGCAATGAATTTCCTTTCCATTTTTTAATGATAAACTAATAGATAATTA